AGGGTGTAATCCTTCATTTTGAAGAAGACCAGCATCCTGACTCCTGTCAAACGCCTTTGAGATATCAAGTAACTGAGTGAGCTTCAACATTCTTATCTAAATCCCAACATAATCGTTCAGCATTAACCATTAAAGCATTGGCAGTTAACGTGGAAAAGCAAAAGCCATCGTGTTTCTCTAAAAGAAGACCCTCTGCCAAAATGAATTTATCTAACTTACCATATTTGACCTTGAGCCGTACAAAGCTGAGCTTAGTGAATGTAAACTAAATGTTATCGAACTGTTTTCGTTTTACATCTGTAAGCCAGTCTTATTTCGATGTGATATTGATCCTGAACATTTGAGTTAAGATTTTGAGCCAAAGAATTTGATTTCAGGTTTGCTAGACGTGAGAAAAATGTTGGAAAGAGAGAATTGATCCGAAGCCTTTAAAAACAAACTTAATGGTTGAGTCGCCCACTCTCAGTTTCATTGTGAAATTTATTTATTTATTTTAGTATTCAAATTTACTTATTTTGATTTCTAAGATTTTAGTCTGCCGGGATCAAGAGCGGATCGAATTCAGAAGTATAGGAAATGAGTTATCAGATCGATTAAAACCAGGAAGCAAACTCCGCCAAAATCCGGTTGGCAAAACATAAAAAGATTATTAAACGTTTTCGTGCGGAATAAGTATAGATCTATGGAGCATGATCTCCAAAGAGTGAGAGATCTACTTTAGTAGGTTAAGCATAGACTGGCACAGGGACATGAGGATGGATATGAAATCGATAGCAGCAATCAGAAATGGCATAAGAGATGTATCATTTTACACACTTCTTTTTTATATGCCTTGTCGATTCAGGACGTGAGCCTAATGAACCGGAACAAATGATTAGCCGAAAACGGATTAGGGGAGCTAGCAAAGGGGTCACATTGTAAAGGACAGCTTGCCAATGTATTTCCTTTACTTTTCATCATAGTCTCAGCTCTGTTAACACACTCACATTAAGTTACCAGATATTTTCCTCCCTTCTCTGGCTGCAATGCATACTGGATTTGTAAACATCTCCAAGCCATTTTCTTTATCATGTGACTAAGAAGTTTCATTCTAATTGTAAGTACAATCTCACTCATTGCTCGCATGTTCAGTCTATGTTATTCTCAGCACCCTTCTACAGAACCGCATTTCTATTACCATAAGTTACTTCTTTATCTGTGAGGAGATTGTCCAGCATTCACTGTCATATAGAAGGATTGGTGTTACATGAGATCAGCGATCTTTTCTTTATTTCTAGCGAAATTTTCCTGCTTTTTAATACTTTGCTTGGCTTTTTGAAGGCATTTTTCACTATGTCCATGCGTCTTCGGATTTCAGTGTTGCATTTTACGTCCTCCGTTAAAACACTCATTAGATGTTCAGAGTTTGTACTTGCTCAATTTTGGTGGGCTCTTCCTTTTGCATTATATTTTATTTTTTCAATTCTTATTATTTCGTGACAAATATTAGGCTGTTGACAGATTTTGGACCGAATGCTTTACACACACACACACACACACACACACATATATATATATATATATATATTTTTCAGATATTACCTACCTAGGTTTTACTTTTACACGCTGTTTTTTTCATTATACCAAACATAACGTATGGGACGATTTCTTTCGTTCTGTACGGAGGTTTCTGGCACTTTCGTTATTCTATCAGATGCCAATTTAATTAAAAATTGTGCCATACATGTTTTTTTAACCCATTGAGTTTAAAGCATATATATATATATAAAGACATTTAATGTTCAAGATATAGATACCTACCTAGTTTATGATTTACAGTTTTTACACGACCTGTTTTTCAGAAATTTTCATAAAAATAACGTTATGGGACCTAAATCCTATTTCCGTCATTTAGGATGCAGGTCGTTCTGTCAATGAACCTTATTTCTATGAAAATTTTCGTTATTCTATCAGATGTAAATTGTAATTAAACAAAAATTGTATCTATGAAATAACAACGTTAAACATAAAATGTCTTTTTAAACCCGGACCTTGTCCAATTCTTAACATATATATATATATATATATATAAATTATTTATTTAAAAATGATTCCAACGCTATGTTACCTAACGAGTTCTTTCCTATTTTATATATTTTTACACACACACACACACACACACACACACATACATATATATATATATATATATATATATATATATATATAATATATTGTATTTAAGCATTTTTTCTTTCATACATGTCTCATTAAATAATATAAACAAGTGTTGTCGATTTATTTTATGTAAATTATTTTCAGAACGTCTGATAAGCTTAATAACATTATCATTAAACGAAAAAAAGAAATCACATATTTTTTAATCAATCTAAGAATAATATTATCAAAGATGTCAATTACTGTACAAGATACCAAGCAATATACGGACAAGACAGTGATTGTTTACTTGGATGATTTTCTAGCAACGATAAACACGTGCATATAAGACGCTAGAAGCGAAAATATCACGGCAGCTCATGACGTCACACATGACCAGAGTGAATTCGAGAAGTATTTATGGGAAGCCGTTGGTATACACCAATGGCTTCTGTTACCAATTATAGATATTTAAGGATATTTGTAGAGATTCCATAGTTGGTTTTGTTTACGTTGGGTTTCAACTGTTTGATGTATATTGCTCCAAGGATTTTTTTTATGAAAACAATAGAAAAAAACTATATATATATAGTGCTGGTGTTAATAAAACGGTGCTGGATGTAATACAACAGAAGTATTAATATATATATACACACATTCATCGATATACAGGCTTATTTCATATGTGTACTAGACATCCGGGTGCTTCAAGTTGGGATCGAAGCCCTACCGATTTGGCATCAGTCGGAGATCCTACCTCTAAGCTATCGGCTTACTGCAGATAGAGAGAAGGGAATTCTAACGTATTGTAAACAAACGACAGTGGACATCAGGGCTCGATTCATTAATGAAGAGCGGTGTGTTAATAGCGTTGGAATTATGTTTTTCTCATATATATATATATATATATATATATATATATATATATATATATATATATATATATATATATATATATATGCAGCAATCCTTATTTCATGCACATTTCATTGAATACGACAGACAAGGTGCTTTACTATAGATTTTATACAATTTTTCATGCGATCTAATAATTTTTATTTAGATGATAAATTATATAAAAACTCTCCGAATGTTCTTTTTATCCGAGCGCTTTCGGCTATACATTTAGCCATTTTCAAAGATTAAATATATTAACTGTTATATAAGAAATAGTTTGCTGCATGTATGTTTTATAAAATGTTTCATTTTTCAAAACACGGTCAAGATATTGTGTCCATGTTCAAAATTAATATTATTAAGTGTTGGCTTTTTTTGTATTAATTAATACCGTTTCCATTATTTTTAGCGTATTTTTCCATGTTGATGATGCTATTATATTAGTGTTGTCAACAAGTATATTATGAATAGTGTCCGGTAGATCTCCATGAATATTTAAATGAGTGAGTCTGCGTGTCAACCATATATATATATATATATATATATATATATATATATATATATATATATATATAGATAGATAGATAGATAGATATAGATATGATGAGGTTATTTCAATTGTATTGTCTACTAGTATGTTGAAGATGGAGTTTGATATATATATATATATATATATATATATATATATATATATAGATACTAGATACTAGTTGTTAGTTAGTTGTTACTCGTATCGGGGTTTTTTCTTTGGGCTTCAGACCTGCATCTGTGAGATTTTTTTTTGTCGGCAGAAGTCCATGTTTGTAGCTCTTTCTTTTTTTTTTTAAAACCTTTTTTCCCTCGAGATTGATTTGATTAGCAAATCAAAAATTCGAGGCTTTTTCGAAAACGAGTCTAGTTTTCTATATATATATATATATATATATATATATATATATATATATATATATATATAGTTATCGTAACTTTGGCGTAGGCATATATTATAATGTATTACAGTTACTTTTTTATTAAAAAATATATTTCGCTTTTAAATTAGACGGAATTTGTATAGATATATAAAAAGAAAAGAAAGATTTTTTATTTTTAGATTTGGGAATATTTTTTTTCTTATTAAAGGGAGATCACTTGTTCTTTTTTATATAAAAAATAAAAACGAATCCTAATTTACCTAAAAAATAAAACGTAACTTACATTAGAAATTAATCTGGATCAACTTATTTAAGCAGATATTTATTTTTGTGCTTACATTTAACTATCAGTTACTTTGCTGTTAAAAGATCTGGCTGGGGGAGATGATATGGATTCGTACGGTTCCTAAGGGTATTTGTGCATAAATTAATATAACGAACCAAACGGGAATTGGAACTCGGTTCTCCGATTATCAATTCTAAGTCATTATCCATTACACCAACCGCGCATACAACCTTATAGCACCTGGTATTCCCCAAACAGTCAACTATGTAGATACTGACCATCCTCGACGTTGCTTAACTTCGGTGATTGTACGGGAACCGATGTTTCAGCGTAATATGGCCGTAAGCCTAAAACTTGCAGGTGTAGTAAGAAGAAATAGTAATAAGATGAAAGAAATGCTAATGAAAAATTTGTAATGTCAAAGATTTATCTAAGAAATTTGAATACTACGTCTAATAATAATATTACATATACAGGGTGCGATGGGTAAATTGTCGTCATTTTGAATATTTAATTTCGCGCATGCTCGTTTTTTTGTTTTTGACTTTGTCGTTTGCAAAATATGGTAGCCATAATTCTTTAATTGCCAGAAATATTTGGAGAAAGCAGTGCTGTTTTTGTCTTTTATATTAACTAAAGTCACTCGATGATGGTAGAAATGATATTTCCAATGATTAACATGGTTACCGGAATGTTTTTTTTTTATTAATTACTTATTTTGATTAATATTGATATTATTCCTTTATTTATACATCCTTACAGTCACATGCCGTTCAAACACCTGTTTCCATATGATCACCAAAGTTAAGCAACATCGAGCCTGGTTAGTACCGAGATGGGTGACTTATGGTGAATAGCATGTGCTGTATGTTTGGATGTGCGGTTGTGTGATGGATAATGGTTCGGAATTGTTAATCGGAGAGCCGAGTTCCAATTCCCTCTAATAGTATTTAATTATATCATATCACGTCGGTTAACTACAGAAGTAAGATTTATTTCCCCTATTATTGGCATTATTATATCCATCACATAATAAAACTGTATTTCACGGATGTAACGGAATATCGAAAGGAAAAAGAATGCCAAATTTGCTTTGTTCTCAGAGGGAGTTTTATGCCTTTAATTTTTACACAAAATTATATATATGTATTTACTCGTTTTCCACGCAGAGAAAATATAACACGTCTACGCAACAAGCAGTGTGAACAAAACCAAAAAGAGAGATATAATAACGGAGATTCTTCTGTGTTTCGGCAAAAGGTATGAATCCACATCTTCTCCACCAGCTATTGGTTAATTAGGAAAACTTGTATTACTAAACAATTACTTTTTTTTTTTAATTCATTAATAAATACGTTTTTGAAAAGAAGAAATTACCAGCAATATATTTGACTGTCGACAATAAAAACTCTTTGCAAAAATACGACAATGAAACCTATACGAAACTATACTAAAAATCTTGTCGGCATTAAATAATCCATTGAAGTTGATATGCCGTACAATAAAATCTGAAAAATATTTTTCGGGGTTTAAATAACTTGCAAAGGGTTTATAAGACATAAACGAATCAATCAATTCATTTATATAGTTTAGCATATATTTTATTCATTAAATTAATTATTCGTTTTTAATATTTTTAAAAAACATTTTATATTTTTATTTAATGATTTTTTTTCCAAATATATGTCAATAAATAATAAAGGGTTTTATTTATAGCTAGCCGAGATTTACTTTGCCCGATTTGGTTTTTTTTTTATAGCTGACTGGTGTGTTTTTCTTTTTATATACAAGACATTTGTAAATCGAATTTCTTCATATTAATATATTCATTGTATGAGTAATGCATAGAAAACACTTCTCATATATCATCATTGTAGAAATATTGTATCGGTCATCTTCTTTTTCGAATATATTTACCCAACCAATCTCGGTAAAGGTATTGAAAACACGTTAGTTCTTACTAAATTTTATTTCACTTTTTGTTGGTTTTTTTCCATTTTTACGTTTTTTTTTTATTTTCTTTTTGGTTTTCTTTGCAAATTGCGTCGCAAGGGCTTATAGATGCCGTCAAAGAAATAGAGAAAAGTTCGGAGCTTATTAAATTATTGATCACAGTGAATAAGAGAAAGAGATTTATTGCGATTTCTAACTGAACATCGCGATATTGAAGAAGCTTTATAGTAAATCTGAGCCCAAACACACACACACACATAAAATATATATATATATATATATATATATATATATATATATATATATTGATATAAATATCAATAGGTATATATATATATATATATATATATATATATATTTATATATATATATAGATAGATAGATAGATAGATAAGATCTATCTAACTCTATCTCACCCTCTCTATCTATCTATAGATAGATAGATAGATAGATAGATAGATAGATAGATAGATAGATAGATAGAAATTTGATATATAGGATCAGATTGATAGATACATATGGGCAGATATTAGCATAAACAAACTGATAGATAGATAGATAGATAGATAGATAGATAGATAGATAGATAGATAGATTGAATGAACAGACAGAGATAGAGAGCTATATATGGACAGACTGAGATAGAAAGAAAGAAGATAGATAGATAGATAGATAGATAGATAGATAGATAGATTGAACAGACTCAGATAGATAGATAGATATGAACAGCCTCAGATAGATAGATAGATAGATAGATAGATAGAGTGAACAGACTGAGATAGATAATGTGGGCGTCGGAATTAACATCTCCTTTTGATCGTAAGTATCAAGGTTCAATGTGATTTTCTGAATATGCGTCACTCCTGTAGCGATGTATATATATATATATATATATATATATATATATATGGTTGGATAGATGTGAGTTTGTGACCCTGGGTTTCACGCTTTAGCGATCGTCAGACAAACTGATATAACCCAGTGAAGACCGTGCCTTTCTTTTAAAAGGTGAAGAATGGTTATGTGTATAGGTTAGTAGAGGAGTAAATGAATTGTAAATAAAAATAAACAGACCCTTTCCAGTTTCTTTTGCTTAGAGCTAATACTGGTGGGTAATTAAAGTCACGTAAAATACACTTAAGTAAAAATAAATACATATATAAATACTTCGATGAAATTTGCTAAAGTATATACACGAAGCATATATTAACAAAAAATATATATATATACAAAATACAAAATTTACATATATATATATATATATATATATATATATAATATATAATATATATATATATATAAAAATATATATATATATAAAATATTATATATAAATATATATATATATATATATATATATATATATATATATATATATATATATATATATATATATTAAGAAATGGACAAGGTCCGACAATTTATTTATTAAAGACATTTTTTTAAAATTTATTAAAGACATTTCTATAAATAACAACGTCAAACATAAAAAAAATGTCTTTTATATATATATATATATATATATATATATATATATATATATATATATATAATTTTGTTAATATATGCTTCGTGTATATACTTTTAGCCAATTTCACTGTGTTTATTTTTCTTTTTTTTTATCACTTTTGTTATTAAATATCTGTTATTGTGATAATAGATTCACCAAGAAGGGTGGAATATTGTAAGAGCTTATGAGTGGTCTAGCGATTAAAGCACTTTCTATACATTTTTGCCTTAGAAAATTGATTTCTCTTATAATACAAGTAGCGTTTTTTGGGGTTTTTTTTTTTAAGAAAAATCAGAACTATTTTCAAACTCAATACAGTGACCAACTAATCCATCGAGTGGTTGTTATTTTTAAATATCAGTTTGTTTTTATATAGTATTTTATGTAACTTTCCAGAGGTTTATACCATGCATTGTTTGTAGGAATTATTGCAATCGATCGAGTAAATTCTCCTTGATTATGTTCATTTTTTATATATATATATATATATATATATATATATATATATATATATATATATATATGTGTGTGTGTGTGTATGTATGTATATATATTTGTATGTTCCATTATTTTCAAATCCTCGTATATCTTATGTTTATATATTTATATATTCTATATTTAGTCAGCAATCCTTCATTTATGCATGTTTTATTAAAAATGATGTGCAAGGTACTACGGTTAAGATTTTTATTTAATTTTTCTTGGGTTCGCACAAGAGCTTTCTTTTTTGGACACAGAATGTGTAGAAACTGTCCAAATGTTCTAGAGTTCCGAGCGCTTTCGGCTATACATTTAGCCATTATCAAGGATGATTTATTTTTCAGTTTAATTGAGTGTGTTATGTGTATGCTTTTAGTGTGCTATAGAAGTGTTTTGTTTTCTGAGCACGGTTAGCACATTCTGACCGTGTTCGTAGTTAATATGTTTCGGATGAAGTCTGGGAGGTTTGTGAGCGTGAAAGAAAGCTCTCCCCCTCTTTCTCTCTCTCTCTCTCTCTCTCTCTATATATATATATATATATATATATATATATATATATAGATAGATAGATAGATAGATAGAGAGAGAGAGAGAGAGAGAGAGAGAGATGGGTATGACGAAAAAACGTAAGTATACACACTTGCACGTACGTGTATATTTTTTCACGGGTATTATAAAAACAGTGCTCAATGTTATATAACAGTTATTAAGTATATATTAGTGAATATACATAATATCTAACGTCTATAGCATGTCACGGAGTTCCATGCAAACAGGCAATCTTCAGGTGCAAAATACTGAACGACTCGTGGTGTTGATTTTAAATTGTCTGTTTAGACAAACGATATCAATTATAAATAATTAATTAGAATATTTTAGTAATTAATAATAAAAAAAAACAAGTAACACACAATTTTAAATTAACAACACGAGAAATCTAATATTATAACACTTGATTGTCAGTGAGTATTCAGCATCTGAAGATTGCGTGTTTGCATGAAACTCCGAGTCGTGCTATCGACGTTTGATATTATCTATATACACTAATATATATATATATATATATATATATATATATATATATATATATATATATATATATTCAATTCAACATGAAAAGACGATGGTTCAAGAGCAAGACTAATCCAAATAGATAACTGAAATGTTTTTATAAGATCAGCGTTCCGTTTTAATATAGTCTAATGTTAATTATGTTTTGTAAATATGTCCTGAAGATGGTGTATTAGACCGAAACGTCCGACGTTGACATTATATTAACGTTAAAACAGCATAATTGCATATTAGGATTTTTGTTTGTTTTTCCGTATATTTTTCTTCATACTGTCGGATCTATATCCATATATTTCCTTACGTATATATATATATATATATATATATATATATATAATGAAATGGACAAAGTCCGACAATTATTTTCAGTTGTTTATACATTCTTTTTTTATAGAAACAATTATTTAAGTAAATGCTCTGTTTTATAATAAACATATTAATAACATTTACCGACCTGAATGTCCGAGAAGTTTTCATAGAAAATATTCGTCCTCCAACGGGAATCGAACCTGTATCCTATACGGAACCGTCATATAGCCTGACGTGCCTTAACCGATCGATCCACGGAGGATCGTTCGATCAGCAAGGTTGATTTTACTGCTTATAAACTTCAATCGTGGCTCGATCGGTTAAGGCACATCATGCTATATGGACATTCAGGCCGGTAATATATATATGTGTATATATGCACGGTACTTATATGGGCGGTACTTATATACTTATATATGTATATATGCGCGGTACTTATTGGAAAGT